TACTGTGTTGAGGTTCTATAACTTAATTCAGTTACCATTACACAAAATAGCCTGCTATGAAATTTCAGCCCTTAATATGATTTTTCTTGTTAGGGGAGCAATAATAATCCAACAATTATATTCAAGTAATTAGGGAGGGGAGACTCATTTTAGCGATCTACCCCTTTGTGCTTGTGCCTTAGTTTGTCCTTTCCTTTTCACAGCAACCATAAATTCAGTGAAGGCATCTAATATGTAAAAATAAGTATACTAGGTTTTTGACCCCTCTGAGCCCTTTTAAAAAGCTGAACTCTGAATAGCTGAAGGTCCTGAAACTCCAGTGTTAAGTAATGGAAGAGGGGGAGAGAGATGCAGCTTGCCATTCAAGAAATTACTATGGGCTACCTTAAGGAGAGAAGAAAAATTTCTAGGCACAAAGTGTTTTTTTAAATGTAAGGTACAGAAAAGCTGGCACTTCGGTTTTTATTAGATGATTTTCTATGGAGATCATGAACAGTAGAAATTTGTTAACTCCTTTCTAAGGCCAAATGAACTGCTTGGAATTTCAAAATGGATGCATTTTTATTCCTTTTTTTAGTCCATTAATAAAATATGAAAAATTAAACATACTACCTTCCTTCTTTGCCCTCCCCATGATACTTTCTACTTCACTGAAACAGCAAAATAAGTCCCATTTCCAGTTATTTGATATTTTTGAGAGTCTCAAAGAAGCTCTTTTCATATAAGAATAAATAATTGAGCCATTTACCAAGCTAGCAACTCTCTCCCCTGGAGCCAAACCAAACTTAACATGTATTACTTTTCTACATTATTCTTAGGACCTGATAGCAATTTTACTTGGACCCAGCTTAACTAATTGTTTCAAATTCTTAGAAGTCTCCATTACAGTACTAAGTCTCCATAGACTCTAGAAAGCAAATTCAGGGGCCAAACAAGACAAAATTAATGTCTGAATGCAATTAACATGGCCATTTTTTAATATGACTAAGCAGTTAAGATGGATCAGTGAAGACAGAGAGGAAGTAGCTTCCTCTTTCTGCCAGTTAAGCTGTTTTATATTTAATAGGAAGCCTCTGTTGATGATTTTGGAGAGGTAATTTTTGTAATGACCTTAGGAAAGGGAGAAATAATTCAACTTCACTTAAGACCGCTTAGGCTTCATATTTTTACTAGAATCAGTGGTACATCTTTGACAGCCGGATGCTCAGTAAGTTAGCATCTAGATTTTTGTTCACGAAAATGTCCAGTGAGCAAAAAAACTTTTCTGCAAAGCCCGAGTAACACCATGTGGTGGATTTGGTAAAGCAAGCATACATTCACAGTAAAAGTCATATAGGACTTGAGGCTGTGATTTATTTGGTATGTTGATTTCATAGAAAATAGTTCTGAAACTCCAACTTAGGCATGTGATGTGCACACATGTATAAATAAAAAGATTAGTACAATATTTTTGCATGTCTTTAAACAAACAAAAAAGCAGCATGGCAGATCAATCTGTGATGTGGTATTAGCCACTCTCTCTTAACTATCCTGAGTAGAAAAAAAAACCTCATTTGAAACTTTTTTCAAATGAAAACAGACAATTAAATATATTATTTTGTGCTGTGTTATATCTCAAGACAGTATATGATAAGCAATAAAGAACTAAACTGAGAGCAAATCCAAATGGAATTCTTCTCTGGCAGATCTTCAGAGAAATATGTCTTTTATTTCATGTGAGATGGGTATTTGGTAACTAAAAGCACAATGATTAAGCCTCAGATGCACCTAAAGAGAATTACTGGAAGAACACAGCATATTTTTCTCTTTGTACTAAAAATGATTTCAACTTTTGAGGCTTATATACAATGTCAGTACTTGTGCTGTATACCTTGAGTCGTTGCTTCTTTTTTAAAACAAATATATTGAACGACAAGAGCTTTTTGTAATGTTGGTATCATTTATGTTTAAATAACCATTACTGATCGTAGAAACAGATGCAACTATAAAGTGCACCCAATTTACAAAGAACAGGCGGCAAATCCATAAGTGCAAGAATCCTGTGAAATCACAACACAGTACTGTTAAAAAGGGACAAAGGGAAAATTTTGCCCAACAGCAGTAATAGATGCCTCCTTTTGGATGAGTATGACATTTCTTTTACTGACTCTCAAATGTTAACGATTATGGCACAGGGAACCCTATGACAGTGAAAGTGGAGCCAAATTCTGGAAATTATCAAGGTAGATACATTATGATTCCACCTTCCATATGACAGAGATGGTTTTTTAGTTATTTTTAGCTTTATTTATCAAGAAAGAGTGGATAATACCTCAGTGCACATGCACTGTGGTACAAGTGACTATCTAAAGGCCCAAAATCAGAACACAATTATCTGACCCTCCTCTGTCTATTGTGAGAAAATAGGTTCTAGTTTTTCCAAGATATAAGCCAGACAAGTGCAAAAATGTTTTTGAAATAAATCACTGATAAACATAACTTTGTTAATGCAAATTCCAGTTTTAAAGAGTTTAAAATTGAAAATAACCATTCTTAATAAAGCAAGGAAAGTTTTACAAGACCCAGAATCCAAACCATCTAGGAGATTAAAAAAATGTGCGGGGAAAAGAGCAGTGGCTTTATCTATTCTGATAATAAAAAAGCAAATATAGAGTTGCATCTTTAGATTTTGTTTATGAAACTTTTCCTTCACTTCTCTCACACTCCTGCATCATACATACACATTCACACTGAAAGAAAAGAGGGAATACTATTGTTGGTTTCAGTAAGTTAAATAAAACTGAAGAATGCCCCCAGCTCTTTGAAAAAAAGCATTAGCAAAACATCTGAGATTCTTTGACACTAGCATGTCATAGCATAAACCAATCAGAACAGTAATTTTCTATGGCTGTTCTACAGAACAGCAAATTTTGTACTGTGACCAATTCGGAAGGGAAAAAATATGTGCAAAAAGTTATAAAGGATCAAAACCAAAGTAAAAGTTCAGGTAATCCTAGATTTACAATTGATCTCAACATTTCCATTACTAAGCAAGATAATTATTAAGTGATTTATAACCTTTCTTGCCAGGGTTATTAAGTGAAGTCACTGCAGTTATTATATTAGTAACACAGTTAAGTGAATCTGGCTTCCTCTTTGGCTTTGCTTGTCAGAAAGTTGCAAAAGGTGATCACATGACCCAAGACCATTGCAACCATCATAAATACTTGCCAGTTGCCAAGTGTCAAATTCTGATCACGTGATCATGGGGATGCTGCAACAGTCATGTGAAAAACATTTTTCAGTGCTGCTGTAACTTTGGTTATTAAATGAATATAAGTCAAGGACTACCTGTAACTCTTGGAAATGCTACATTCCATACTCAGAGAAATATGGGAAGTTATAATAAGGATATAGAAATGACTAGGAAAAATAGTGATTAAAATTGTTACATTGATCTCTTTGCCTTTCTGAGCTCTTTCAGGAGACAGGAAACAAAGATCAATCTCATTTTCAAGGTGGAATCTTTAAGGATTAGTAAAAAACATCTTTTATCACACCCTTCAATTCATATGAAGGAGCTCCTGAATAAAGCATTTTTAAAAAGTAGTGTCATAAAGCACAGTGGAAGGTGTTCTGTACTTTAAAATCACTAGGATAGTTTGACAAAAATAATGAAGAAAAAGGGTCATTTTTTAAAAAAATATATAATTTTCATTAGTTGATAAGATCAATTTAACCTCTGAATGATCAAAATGCAGAGAAGGCAAAACATTATTTCTTTTTTGGCCTGATTTGTGTTTCTGCCCTGGAGATGAGCTCTCCATAGCATTGATGGTTTCTTGATTCATATATGCATTCATGGAATATTCTTCAATCCCTTGTTTTCTGGCACTTCTCAACTCACAAAATTAGCTTTTGTGAACTAATTTAAAGTGCTTTCTGGAAATGGTATGGATTGAGAATATTTGCATCAAGTGTGTGCTACATTATTATTTTCTCCTTTGAGATCACTGGCTTCATTAGCTTGCAGGAATTATTAATCGCTCAACCTTTTTCATTTGGATTGAAAAAGCAGTCCAACTTCTAAAACCAAATCATATAACTCAATAACAAATTACTCCAAAATATTCTAAATTATATTATGACAAAACTAGAGAAAAAAAGTACACTTGTTCTAAGCGTTTAACTTCAAATGCATGAAAGAGTGCCCATCTGTAATCCAGGAAGCCTTGTGAGAGAGTACCAGTGCTAAATCTAGGCTGGGGGAATTAAAACTACCATTCAGTCAGTTCCTCCTTCATGATTCAAAGTAGAGTTTTCTAATTTTAGATACCCAGATAGTACTCCAACCCCTCCCCCCAGGAAACATAAGCAATGGTCAGAGATGATGTGGAGTATAATCCAGTATCCGGAGAACCAATGATTTAGAACATTTGGTTAATTTTTTAAAAAATTAATTTTACTGATTATCAATATCTCTACAATATGATTTGTTCCAACAGGAAGACAAGTGCATTAGAAAATAGGCTGGATATCTAAGATACAGAATGAAATCAGCACTGACTGATGGGCTGAAGTGGAGAGAACTTTAATTTCTACCTGAATATTTGTTCATATGCCTTGGAAAAAGTAACTCATTGTTTTTCAAAGCTAGTACCAACAGAAGGATAAGGGAAAATGCTAAGAATAAATAATAATGTGATTTTTTTTTAAAAAAAAAATGCAACCCTATTAGAAAGTAGACTGGGTTTTATGCATAGTTCTTTGTTAATACTAAAAACAAAGACCCCCCATTCTCACAGGTTAATAGCTCTTTGGACATAATGACCTACAGGAACTGAAAAGTGTAGTTTCCCAGCAGAAATAAAGGTCAGTACACAAAAAATGGTCAGACTGTATTTCAATCAATTCAGTTTTGAAATTAAAACTTTTCTTCAAAGAGCTGGTTACTTCCCTTGAGTGTGTACAGAATTTGACTCAGCCCCCATACTATACATTTAATTAACTAATTGTCAGCTGAAAATTGTATGGTGCTGGCTTTCTCTGAGGTCAGCTGTGTATAGAAAATAATTTGGAGCATGTCTTGGACTGCCTCATTATCATACAGAAAACACAGGATATCCCCTGGGTGGTAGTCTGCTACTGAATAAAAATCTTAGAAAGGAAGAAAAAACAGCAACGTAAGATGTGAATTCAGCCAGGAAAAATGTGCCAAAAAATAAAAGGCTCTTACTCCAAGATACATCCATTTTAAACATTAGACTCCACAAATGGTCTCTTTGGTTTGATTGGGGATGTCTGCCCTTGCCTGGAGTCTCTGGAAAGTTGCCTATAGAGGTTGTCCTGATATGCCTGTGCAACAGGCAGTGTCCTGGCCACCTTAACATCAGGATATGAAGAAGTTTGGCTAACTCTTTCTAGAAGATCTCCTCTGGAGCCATTGGCCAAAATTCCGTGTGGACTATAATAGTCATCCTCCAACAAGTGGCCATTCTGTGCATTGTTAGTTTTGTTATAAAAGGCAAGGCTGCTGACTGAAGAAGGTGGACTGAATGTTTCTGGCTGAGGAAGATTTCCAGGAGATGTAGGGCTTATAACGGTATCCACTGAAGATACAGCCCAGGTTCTGCTTTGTTGATGTAGGTGAGGATACTGCTGAGTCCGGGCTGTTTTATCTATGATTCCCATGAAAGGTGTGGTCCTCGAACGAGCAGGTTCACTGGGATAACCACCTTGGGTTGGAGATACTGGGGAAAGCTCATCACATGATCTGTCATATGCTGGCTTAAGCGGAATCTCCATCTGCTGAACAGAAGCAGAAGGGCGGAATGGGGGAGTCAAATTGGGAGTAGAGGAAATGCTATTGCTAGATGGGGAAAATCTGAGACCAACGCTTTGAGAATGAAGCAGAGGTCTCGGAGTTGGTGGATGAGGTTTTATTTCATTGGAATTTAATGTAATGGGTCTTCGTATCAAATGGGAAATGTCAGGAGAACCAAGTTGACTAGAGGGTAGAGAGGAACGTTCCAAATCAAGCTTTGCATGACAGACTGGATAGTAGGAAGCTGACTGACTCCGCCCAATCTGTGGGGTTTGACTATATCTCATCCCACCACGATAAGCAGAGGAAGGTCTTTGTGGAAGATCCTCTTTAGTCAGCCCTCCATGCTGACAGATTGCCCCTGCACTCAGACTGGCTTGAACATGCTGCACAGGTCGCCCATCTCCCATTATTCCCCCAATAGAGGTCTGATACACCAACCGATTTTGGCCCCCAGTCATTTCTGCTAATGAAGACTGAAACTTGCTGGCCACAGAATGGGATACTTGGCCATAAATTCCTGTTGGGATTACAGTACTACAATGGCCAGCTGAACTTGGCTGGTTGCTTCTGACAATCTGTGCCTTGGCAGGCTGCAACCTAAGTCCTTGCTGTGGAACTGCAACAGGTAGTGGAAGCATCTGGAAAGATCTCTGTGTCATTTTAGAAAGTGGAGATTTAGGTCGACTAGGAAGTTGAGTGATGCTGGTTTCTTGCTGGTATCGTATTGGTGAACCAGACTGAGCTCTGTAGACACCCACACTATCTGCAGGAGGGCTGGCTCGATACTGAGGGCCTCTACGAAGGGGTGAAGGAGGTGGGCTTTGATAATCTTTCCCTTGGCTACCAATTGGCGGTGGACTAAAATGGTAAGAGGAGGGCTGGTGAGCAGGAGATGTGTGTGGAGGACTAGGCCTATAATGAGAATTCTGGTGCGTTGGAGAAAGTGCTGGTGAGGTGGGTTGATATCCTTGCCTTGTTGGTGATCCTATAGAATTATTTGATCTGAAGTCAAAGACCTGATGTGAACCAAGTGGTGAATTGGAGATGTAGGCAGAATCCCGGTGGGCAGGGGAAGATGGTGGGCTTTGAATAATGGGCAATGTTGGGCTAGGTCGTGACTCTGTCTGCAAGCCAACAGAAATGTTTTCTACATCTTGTTCAAGATATTCTTCTTCCAAGATATCTTGTACTGCATACAACTCTTCTTGCTGTGTTTCTGATTCAGATGGTGCAAGGGGTTGTTGTTGTAGTTGCACCTGTGTCTGTCTGCACTCTTCTTCTACCCGCATAAGGAGCCGCTGGATTTCACGGTTGTTCGGACAAAGTTTGATGGCCTCGTTCAAATCCTCCAGTGCTGCTGAAAACTGCCTGTTTTATCCAAAAAGTGACAAAATTAAAAAAAAAACAAGAGAGTAAAATTTACTCTGGATAACAATGGCTTTAATATGAGTTTGGTATGCATAAAAGTGTAGCTAGTTGTGAGGAGGAGGATTTCCACATCTTGCGAACAAGATTATTCAGCCTTGTGTGTTTCTTCTATTTAAGAAACAGACAGTATTTCCAAGATTGCACTTGGTAACAAAGACAATATATTGGGCTATTTCAGATCTGTTGAGCTCTGTTCCTCCACTATTTTAGGTCTGAGCATATGCCAGTTTAAGGCTCCAAACAAAAGGCACACTCTGGACTGCTTTCAGCCAGTGGATTCTATTCTGAATATTGCTGTCTTGGAAATGAAGAGAACAAGGATAGGATAGTGTCTGACAAAAAATAATCCCCCACAAGCTTTTGCCTAACCTATGAGGAACAAAAGGGTGGGAAATTTCAAGGGAGATGGGTTGTCATTTACAGGGACACTGGTAGATTTTGAACAAAATAGCAATCTAGTTGTATGTTTCTGATTGATATTTATCTCTACACTTTTCATGCATTTTGCTTTCTTGTTCAGTTTTTAAAACACACAAATGTGTTTTAAAAGCATAAAAACTATTGAACACCTAATGTTTGACCTATACTGATTGTTGATGCTGGGAGGCAAGAAAAGATTTTTTTTTTCTGTAGACCCCAAGAATCTGAGTAAGTGGAAGTCCTAGAAATTAATGTGTTAACTGTTTGAACAACATACTGCCAACTCTGGAAAATCAAATAAAACAGCATAAATGTGGGAAACCATAACACTGACTTGCAGTTTAACTCAATTAGTAGAGTTCTGACTGTGGAATGAAATTTAACTACAACTAGGAGAGACCCAGAGAATGGTATAGAGCAGCCCAAAGGGACATTCTTGAGCTAAGGAATTAAACCGTGGGATTTTCAACTCAAACTGGCAGAAAGCATATTCTTGTTATCTTAGTCAATGAGCTGATCAAATAGGATAGTAGTGTCTGAAAGATAAAGCTCTCCAATAACTTCAATATTCTGAAACATAATCCCACCTTAAGCACATGAACTGGGCCCATTGAACATTAATCATAACATATATATATATATGTTTCGCCAAGACACTTCCAATTTTACGCGGGAGAAAACCCAAATAACCAAAGACCTACATACAAACAATATATATATATATATGTTTTCTGAGGTTTTCGCAGGTGTTTGTATGTAGGTCTTTGGTTATTCGGGTTTTCTCCCGCGTAAAATTGGAAGTGTCTTGGCGACGTTTCGACGAAGTCCCATTCGTCATCTTCAGGCTGGTGTCTTCAGCTTCGTGCTTCTAGGAGTAGTGTGTGATCGCAACTGTTTCTTCCTTTTAACTGCCAGTGGGGTTTGAACTGATTGGGTGGGAGCTTGGCTGTGTTCTGATTGGGTGGAGGTAGGGTTGCCAGGTGTCCACTATTTGAGTGGACAGTCCGCTTTTTCCCCATTATGTTCACTATTTTTTTCACAAAATAGTGGACATTTTTTTTATTCAAAAGCTTTATGATGAAATGGTACGTAATCTAAAGCTGTACAGTCTACTTTTTTTACTACTTAACCCCCCCCGCTTGTCCGCTATTTTTTGGCAACCCTAGGTGGAGGTGTGTTCTGATTGGTTAAGGAGCTTGGCTGTGCTCTGATTGGCGACACCTTCATAATCTGGCCACATGGGAAAGAAAAACTGGACAACTTCCTCACACACCTCAACAGCCTACACTCCAAAATACAGTTCACCATGGAAACAGAAGCTAATAACCAACTCCCCTTCCTGGATGTCCTAGTCTACAAGAAATCCAATGGCTCCCTAGGACACACCATCTACCAGAAGAAAACACACACAAACCGCTATCTGCACGCACTCTCACACCATCACCCAGCACAGATCAACTCCGTAGCCAAGACACTCATCTCCAGAAC